ATGTCAATCTGAAGGGAAACAAGATTGATAAGAAATAACAAATGTTTCTTGATATTTTTATGTGACAAAATAGGTTGAAACCAAAAAAAGAATAAAAAATCCGTACATGATAATGTTGATAGAATAGAAGGAAGCAAAGAACAATCCCTTTTAAAGGCCAAGAAGATTCACTAATACTTAAGTTGACAGTAAAGGGAAAACATAGTAATAACAATATCCTTGAAGTATAAGTCTTCCGAACAACACAAATAAGGAAAAACAAAAAAAGAAGTAAATCAGGATAAATGCTTTGGAAAATGCATTTCAAAATTCTCTGCATGATTCAGTCAACAATAGAAAATTTATTATTACCCTATGAACAAATGGATACTGTGAATATATGACTTTATAGCAAGATCTTAATGTAACCTGCTTGTATGTATTCGAATGACTAGTGCTTGGATAACCTAACACAAAAATCCTAAAATCCGGGCTTAGGGAAAACAGCAGCCGAAAAAGACTAAGTAGAACTATAGAAACATATACACACATACAAAAAGTGAAAGGATACCCATACTATTTCCAATAGCATTGTCAGTTTTCTTATTTTTAATACAGTACCTTTTGTTAAGAGTGCCTTTAGGCGCCCTATTTAGAATTTTTGTTTTCCATTAAACTCTCCTCTATTAAGAAACACATCACACGGTCACCAATGTAAAAGGGAGAGTGCAGCACGTACCTTCTTTATTCCAATCATGTTCAACCTGTCATCGTTCCCAATTGCAATTACAGCATCCACAACCATGGATGCAAAGAATTCTTTCTCTCCCCCTATAAGCTTTGAAGAAAGTGTGGTAGAAGCACACTTTGCAAGCAAGCTTTTCTTTTCTTCCAGACTTTTCCCCTCAATGCTAACAGCTAGCTCTTTAATCTTTTCAATTGCCTGTATCAATAATTAAAAAAGACAAATACTATGTGACCAAATTCGTGATATACTTCGACTTCCGGTATTCAACATTAAGACAAAATTCAAACAAAAACTGAGGCTCTGTTTAGATAAATTTTTCCACAAACACTTGTTAGAGAAGTAAAAAGAGAAAGGAAGGAAGGAATCAAACATTTCTCACGAGCATAAATAAACTTACGCAAATGAGAACTTCAGAGAAATTACACTATAGAACTTTTACAAAAAGCTAAGTATTTAATCGATTTAACTTATAACAAAGGCTCATTTTATTTTACCATCTTAGTTTCTTCTATAAAGGCTTAAAGATAAAGTTATTCAAACATTAAAAATATTAATCATATTCGAGAGAGATCTGTACCAAGGTACTTGCAGCCCTGTAGCTCCGTATCAAATTTTGAGAGTGAACGCCATCTTCAATGAAAGGCTTGGCCTCCCTTAAAAACTCAGCTGCGAGCAACACGACAGTGGTGGTACCATCGCCAACCTTTTCACATTCAAAGAAAGAACATTAGAATAACAATACATCATTTACCAGCAAACAAGCAATTCCAATACCACAATTTCAAACATCTGAATTAAGCCCAAAGAAAAACCAGAAGATCTTAACTGCGGAAACGAGAAAAGAAAAATCTAAGGCATTGCATGAGATCGAATGGAAAGGGAAGCGTTAGAAGTTTACCTCGGAGTCCTGAGACTTCGCGATGTCGACAAGGATTTTTGCGGCAGGGTGGACGATGTCAAGGAGCTTCATGATGGTAGCTCCATCGTTGGAGATGGTGACAGCTCCCTTGTCATCGTGGATGAGCTTGTCCATGCCGCGAGGGCCGAGGGTGGTGCGGACGACGTCGGCGACGGCGGTGCAAGCATTGATGTTACTCACCAGCTGTGGCTTCCCTTGCGAAGTGTCCGTGCCTTCCTTCAGCAGAATGATCTGAGGTTGCTGTTTGATCCACCATTTCCAGACTTAGGTAAAGTTACAAAAACACGCAAAAAGAGAACAAAGAGAGCGAGAGAGTGAACATACCAGCATCGCTGACATGGTTGAAGATGCAGAAAAAAGAAAGAGAACTAGGGTTTAAGTTTTGAAGTTGGAAGTGGCACGAGAAGCAGCAGTTTCTGGCTCCTACTCTCTCTCACACACAGCGACGTTAGCTTTCTCTAGAAATGGTTGGTTACCTATTTCGAAGCCAAATTTCAATTTTATCATAGCTTGGGCCAAGGCCCATATACACACAGCAACTAATTTTTACAAGGTTTTCATCCAGTAACCCCCGTTATTTCTTGGCAGACCTTCCGAATTTTTAAAATCACATCTTAAACTTTCGGATTAGTTGTCCTAAAATATTTCCAGAACAAGCTCTTTAAGATTTCAAGAACATGATTCAATAGAATTTTTGAAATGGGATTTTCAGAACTTATGAAATCTATTTTAAATCAAATATTTTAAAATAAAATTTCCTAAACAAACTTTTTAGAANCAAAAAGAGAACAAAGAGAGCGAGAGAGTGAACATACCAGCATCGCTGACATGGTTGAAGATGCAGAAAAAAGAAAGAGAACTAGGGTTTAAGTTTTGAAGTTGGAAGTGGCACGAGAAGCAGCAGTTTCTGGCTCCTACTCTCTCTCACACACAGCGACGTTAGCTTTCTCTAGAAATGGTTGGTTACCTATTTCGAAGCCAAATTTCAATTTTATCATAGCTTGGGCCAAGGCCCATATACACACAGCAACTAATTTTTACAAGGTTTTCATCCAGTAACCCCCGTTATTTCTTGGCAGACCTTCCGAATTTTTAAAATCACATCTTAAACTTTCGGATTAGTTGTCCTAAAATATTTCCAGAACAAGCTCTTTAAGATTTCAAGAACATGATTCAATAGAATTTTTGAAATGGGATTTTCAGAACTTATGAAATCTATTTTAAATCAAATATTTTAAAATAAAATTTCCTAAACAAACTTTTTAGAATATTTTTCCTCCCTTCTTCTACCTTAACAAAGATGGTGATGCAGTACTGGTGGAGGGCGTTTTAGTCTTTTTGATGTTAACATGAAAGTGCAGTTAGTAATAATAAGGTGCGGGAAGAAAAACAACTTCTAATCATGGTATCGACCCAATATGTTATTACCAATTATATTTGGTGTAAGTGATTATTATATTTTATTGGACATTTATTAAATCATGTGTAATGTGTAGTGACAACATTATATATATTTTGTCTTATATTTTTCTAGGGTCTAAACTTGGGCTAGGCTCGATCAGTCCGTTAACACAATATAGACCAAACAATATAATAAAAAAGGTTCAATAAACTTAAAACACAAAATTACAAAATTTGTCATCATACACCTTTTATAAATAGGAGATCAAAAGAAGATTAGAAAAGGAAATAAATAAAGGAGAAGTAATTATTTGAATTGAGGAAAAGAAAAAGGAAAAGGTAATAAGTAAAAAGATTGTGTTCTATTTAAAAAATAACTTTTAAAATTGTTATCATGTAAGAAATAGTTTTAAAAATATAAGTTAGAGTTAAAAGAAAATTAAAATTATGACAAACTTAAAAAAATAATAACAATATGTTAAAATAAATAACTTTACAAATTATTCATAATTAATTATATACCAATCTTTCTTTCATAAATCTTCTCAATTTTAGACGGAAAGTTTGGCGAGAATATTTTGTTTGTTTTACCTATTTATTCTATCTTCTTTTGTGAATTAGAATACATTTACTCCTTTCTTTGTGTAGAAACAAAAATATGGAGTGAAGTGACACAAAAATATGGAGTGAAGTGAATATTATTTTTCTTATGTAAACTAAGGACATGATTAGTTTTTAAAGTGTGAAAATCATCCAAGTAAATTTTACCACTTTCAACAAACCAATTTAGAACTTTATTAAACAAGAAGTTCATGTTATAACATAGACTAAAAAAATAACCGAGTGATGATTCTTATGCTTCATTGAAAACACATGTTGCTAATGTATGCCTCAAACACCAATGTTAAAAACATTTAACATTTAAGAAGTTAGAACAACAAATAAATTGACAAAAATATATTATTTCTAGTTCTACTATCGTGCACATAAACTAAAACATAACAGTACCCTTTACAAAAAGGAAAATGATACTTGAACAACCAGTTTTGACAACATTTAGACACGCGCACACGTGTCAAAATCTGAGTGGTCCATTTTCATTTAATTTTTCAACTGGACACTCAGATTTTACACGTGTGCGGTGTCTAATCAGTTGTCAAAAATGGGCGTTTGTTCAAGTGTCATTTTCCTTACAAAAATCTAATTGTCTAAAACTTTCTGTCAAAACTTCTACAAGGACCTTCTCCATAATAGTTATCGAGATAATTATATCTCTCACAATAATACCGTTAAATAGACATAACAAACATGAATAGATTAATACTAAACATGGAATTCAATGTTCCTATAACCAATACTAAGAAAACTATAAAATTATTGCTGGTGAGTTTAATACTACTACCAATTAATTCTTATGAGGTGGTTGAAAGGAAAGGAAAGGAAATGGTATATATAGAAGTGTTGGTAAATGATGAGAAGTATAATTGGTGAAATTCTAATTGATAGCATCTGGCGGACAAGAATTCCACATTTATGCATTGGCTTCATGAGAGAAATTGCGTGAAGGATAAGCTAAGCAATATACAGGGGAAGAGTAGAATTGCGATAAACATGACAGATGCCTTGGTTTGCTAAAACAAAGAGATCAATATGCAATGAAAGTGTCCAGGAAAGGAAGGACCAGAGGGAGAGGGAACAGGCAGAGAAGAAATCTACTTTCCCCTCTCCAAATATAATAAAAGATTCTACAGACAGCGATACAAGCTAATCATGGACAGCAACAGCCTATCTAATTTATTCTAGACTCCACAATTGATGGCTACAACAACGTCCACCACATCAAGATATATTTTGGTTACATCTTTGCTTGATCTGTTGTATTTCATGTGGCTGTTGACTAACTGCCCCGCTGCAATGGGCAGACATCAGAGACAACTCTCCGGCTTTCTTGTCTTAAAACAGATCCAGCAACACAATGGCAGCCAAAGTCTTGTAGTTTTGATCTCTGGTGGACTCCTTGCTCGCACCCTTCACACCAAGTAAATTACAAGCAAGGGACTGGGATGCAAGTTGAGTTCCACCCCAACAGTACCCACCTGAGAGGAAAATTGAAGAAAAACCTTAGCTATTAACTAAATTGGAAAATTGGGTAACGTGTAAGAAAGGAGGGGACGGGATGCCAAATCACCTCAATGAAGGCATGGTCACCGAGGATGTGAAGGTCCCTCCCATCATTAACGGCTTCCATCATGGTTATGCAATGGGAAACTCTCAATATTTTGTGCTGGATCTTGTCCAGTGGCTATAAAGACTGCAGAAACAATGTTACTAGCATGGGCATTGAATCCACCAAGAGCACCAGCAATAGCGGAACCAGTAAGGTTTTTAAGCATGTTAAGCTCCACCAGGGCAGACACGTTGGTCTTCAATACCTTCTACCACTTCTTCTTTAATAATTGCTTCACAAAACACTGATTTCCCACGTTCCCTCGATCCCATTTGACTGCCGAGATGGGCTTCTTTATCCGAACAATAATTTCCTAAGGATACAAATCAGAACACAACCCATCCACATTTTTCGTATATAATTTTCCCAGTATAAAACCAATTTCACCATGCCGTGATGATAGGGCTATAACAACCATATCATATATAAAGGATAAAGTCTCATCACACTTTCGGTCAATACTCCTTTTTAAAACAATTTCAGCGCCCTGATTATAGCCACCAAATTGAATAGCCAAACAAATGATAAATATAAAGGATCGAGTCAAAATAGTGACATCAGTGAGGATACCAGTCTACTGTTCAAATGACAATAGCTACAATATGTGTGTGCGTGCATGAATGTAAAAGCTAAGACGTCAAAGATGGTAGGGGAAGAAATAGATAATGTAAATGGACCACTTCACGAATGAAAGAAACCGGAAAGAAAGGAAGAAATAAACGAATGTGTAATAGCATATAAAGAAAAAACACCGTTGGTGAATCGTTCCGATTTAACAGAAGATAAGAATATATAATTCATCAAAAATGGGAAAAGATAACAGAAATTACCAGAAATGCCCAATAACATCCATGTCAGGGAAATCATTCTGAAGAAAGTCAAGAACGTTTTGCACCCTCTTTGGAAAACCATGTTCATAACCATTGGCATCACCCGTGCTACAGGTGATCTCAACTAAACGTTTCTTTCCAGCCATAGCCACACTGAATACCTTGCAGCCTGGCAAATCTACTCGACCTGAAAACCATTAAACCAAAACACCAAAAACTAGCAAAAATAAATTAAATATCCCACACTCAAATAAAACGACATTCCAAAGTTCTAGTCATCTATACTAAAAATTTCTTCCACTCATCCACTTCCCCATATATTCATAAAACTTTTAATGGAAAAACCACATCTCGCCTAACATTATAAAAAAAATCAAACCTAAATATCATTTCCTCTAAACTACAGAAATTCACTTAGTATGCAGGTATAGCAAATCTCAGGTGTAAATTTTTCTATTCAACACAAACACTATTTAAAATTACTTCAAACTATAATTAATTTTGGACTCAATAATTCTTTTTATGTGACAACCAACCCGTATATATTAATATTCATTAAAAATCAGTTATAACTGGATATCGACATTTTCAACAAATTTTCGATGTCCGATGAATCCAAAACATGTGCAATTAAAGTGGACCACCGACTTACGGAATGATAAATTCTAAAATCATGATCACGAACCCAAACTCCCTCTAGAGGAGTGACAAAACAAAACCATGTTGAAAACAACGGAAAGGGTATCAAAATTGAGAGGATCCTCCAAGAAGAACTTCAACTGTGCAGCCCTCTTAGCAGTGGAGAACCTGACAACAGGGGCCCTTGACATGCAATCCCTCAAAACAACACTGCTGGCCCCACCAGATGCATATATAGCTTTGCACCCTCGATTGGTGCTGGCAACAAGGCACCCCTCCGTGGTGGCCATCGGCACCGTGTACTCGAAACCCGTCCAGCAGCAACGGGCCCGCCACCCCCACAGGAATCTGCACGTATCCTACCGGCATTTCGCAGCACTGCCCCAAAATCGAGTCGTAATCGAACCCGTCCAGCGGCAGCCCCTCCAGCGACCGCCCCGTCATCCTCTGCAGAGCCGCGCGCCAATCGCCGCCGCACGGCGACAGTTCAACGGCGAGACTCGAGCGCATAGGCGGCAGTAACGCCGTTCACAACGGAGCGGACAATGTCCTCATCGTCTTGGGGAGATCAAACGGCACTCAACAGGGGGCAATTTGGTAGTTGAGTAAGAGGGCGAGGGCCTGGGCGAGGATTCCGGAAAACAGTCTTCATCGACGTCCCAACGCGTCGTTCGAGGCGCGTGTTGATGAAGGGACTGGACGAAAGTCTGTGTTGACGACGAAAAAGCCGAGGAGGTAGATTGAATGAGGCAATGAGGGAGAAAATCCCCGCGGCAATCTGGGAAGGGAGCGTGAACGTACGTGCAGAAGCGGTTGTGTGTGGCTGCGGGATCTTGTGCGCCACCGGTGCAGGAGGAAAGTATGCGACGGAGAAGAAGAGAGTGAAGAAGATGGCGTTGGTGAGGTATAGTGTGGAGAGGGAGCACGTCGGAGGCCTTAGGAGAGGGACGCTGATGTGTGGGAGAGGAATCCTCTTCCCGCGGTTGGGGATGGTGAAAGCTCCGTCGTGGGCGGTGCGGCGGCCACGCGGTGGCGGAGGTCCATTGCGCGTGCGAAGAGGGTGAGGAAAAGAACGTGTGAAACGAATGAGTGAATAAAGGTTAAGGCATTGTGAGTGTTATGTGTACAGCGAAAAGACGCGAGTGTTCAACAGGAGTGACAGGACCCAAACAGGTCGTCATTTGCTGGTGCTTGGTTTTTATTAAGCAACTTTTCTTCTAAACCTTTTTCTACTTTCTGGAACGGCCACAGACCACTACATATAACACTTTATTAAAAAAAATAATTATTTTTTAAATTGGTAAACCGATAGTAAATAAATTATTTAAAGTAACTTTTTAATTGAAATTGAATGCTTTTTGAGTTTCCCTTAAACCGAGTGGGTCCATTGAAAAGGAAATTACCAGTTCCGATAAATCATTTAATTCATAAAACAATTTCATTGGACTGCATCTCTCCATTGCAGTAAAATAAAGATTGAATTGTTTAATAATAAAGTTGTATAATTAAAGTGAACTATTATTCTTTTATTAAGTATGTCCAAAGATTATAAATAGGAAAAAAAATGTTTCACTAGGGTTGATGATTTCCATAAAACTTTTTTAATTAAAACTTTTTTTGTCTAAGCTTAAAATAATTTGGGTGTACCTCTTAAATATACTTTACCTAAGTGATTAATTTGATCGAGATCACAGTAAAATTTTAAATTCGCAATAAATGTAATCACTTATCTTCTTATCTTTAACATGAATTTATAAATTTTCAGATGAATTTATAATTAACAAATTTTTAATCATGATTTATTGGCTAATAAACAACATTTACCGATAATCTTAATTAGATAATACTTAATGATATTGATAATTTAGACCTCTAAGTCCTTTCATTGATATTAACTATATGAACTTTCTTCATATCATACGATTCACAAAAATAACTTGACATGTGTTTTATTTTTTCACACATTTTATTACTTCCGTCAGCTTGTCACCCAAGCGAGCAATAATCTTCTCATATTAATTATTACAATATAATAAAAAATAATACTAAAAAAGTTTTACTAGTGTTTTTGTCATTTGATATTTCTGTAATACTAATTATTTTTTCTATATTACTATTTTTTATGATATTTCATTACATAATTAATCAATAAAATTAAATTTAAAAAATATATTTTAGCTTTAGTAGGTAAAATACTATCATTTAAAATAAAAATATTAATATTTATTTTAAAGAGTTGATTTTTAAATAAATAGTTATTTTTTACACACATTTTAATCATCATTAAAAAAATTTCTAACATATATTTTACATATTTATTATGTTAAAAAATGACTTAAATTTAAAGTATTACTTTTTTATATATTCTTTTTTATTTTATGATTTATAAACACTTAGTTATTTAATAAAAGTAAATTTAGAAAAATATATTTTACTTTTATTTTTAAAAATAATTATTTAAAAAAATAATATATTGTTATCGATAATAAAAATATAAAAATACTGTGATGAAATAATTTTGTCTTAAAAAATTTCATTATTAAAAATATTTATCATTTAATATTAAATAATAATATAAATATTTTTTTATTAAATATTTTATTTTTTTAAGTATGTAAAAAAATTAACTTAGGTATCTAATAAAATTTACAATTAATGATATTTAAATAACAATTAGTATAAGTTTTTAAAAATAAATTACGTTTTTAAACAGAATAATAAAATATTATATTAAATTAATTTGTTTTAATGGTTTAAATATATATTTGTTATAAAAAAAAGTTATACTACTTATGTGTTATGTTACTTAATATTTTATTTCAAATTTTTAAAGAACATATTTGTAATAGAAAAAGTTATATTTTACTTTTTTAACTTTTTTTTTATTTTTAAAATTTTGTAAATTTTTTCGGTGAGTCAATACTCTTTCATTTTCATATTCATAAATCAATTACAATCTATATAAACAAACAAGAATGAAATTCACCTTTTTTATATCATAAACAATACGTAGTCTCAAACAAAAACGATTATAATCTAATTTTAAATGTGTATTTATTAAAATAATCAAGAGGTTGTGAAGTCAAGTGTCAATAATAATTAATGAATTCAAAGTTATGTAATGATTTCTAATAAATATTTTTATTCCATTGTAATATATCGGTGAAATGTATTTAATATGCATAGGACTTAATATTACCAATTCTTAAAAGTAATTTAAAAAACTCTATCTTATCTTATCGTGTCATTTGCATGTGGTTTGTATAGTGTTTTATGGGGAAAATATAAGGTTGCAAAACAAAAAACCTCAAAAGTGATATAGACTGATGATATAAAAACGGTAGCAGCGACACATGGTGGTGACGCGGCCTAGGGTTTGTGGGGGAGAAGATTATGCTGATGAGTTAGGGTTGAGGTGGCAAAAAACTGGTTGGTCTATTGGTGTGTAGAGATTATGAAGTGGCAGTTTCTCAATGGTAAGATCTGTGTGTAGAGGATTTGGACACGTGGCAGAATATGGTATCTGGTGAAATCTGATTTAGGAGGGGTAGGAATAGGAAAATTTAGGGGTTGCAGGAGAAAAGGCTTAGTGTTTGGGCTTAGTTGTTGGCCTGTTTTAGAAATAGTAATGTATGTAGAGAAATTTAGGAGGTGCAATGGTAAAGTCTGCCTGTTTGGCCCATTTTTATTTTGCAAA